GATCCTGCTGTCAAGTTTCCCGCTTCTACTCCTCCGTGCTTCACCTCAGAAAAACCTAAGTCACAACCTCAACCATGAATGTGTTTAATCATTTATGCTTCAACTTATTAAGATATATTTCAAAAGTGTGCTATGTTCACCTCATAAAAAATGCAGGACATAAAAACATTGCTTAATTTTTTATGTCCTTCATTAAGCAGACTCTAAAAATCCCACTTATATATGAACCTGTAAAGTCTCAAATCAGCTAAAATTAAAATTATTTCTCTTGAATAACCATTAAATAGTAGGTTGTCAAAGGAAACAGGCAGGTTGAGAGTGTGTTGCTGCTGCAGTAGTTGTGCAGAGGGAAAGACCTGCGAAATTTCCCATGGGAATGGATGCTTTATCTCCATAACTCCAGATAACATAAAATGTCCACTCATATTGTTCTCCTTCACTGCTTTTGCACAAGAGTGATAATCTGGAAAAGAGCTGGCTCACAAACTGAGATTGCAGCACACCCCTAAAGGTCTGAATCCATCCCCATTGTTTTGGTACCTCTCTGCTGATGTGATCATTAGCGATGAAGACATTTGGGCAGTCCGTAATGTCTGGGTGCACAGCCTGAGCAGGGACTGTTGCTGCCGGGGCATCCATTGTTTATTTACTTCTCTACAGGGGATGTACCACTTGGAGAGTATGCAGCACTGCTTTGAAGATCTGCTCTGCAAACTGAAGGAGCTCGTCTCCAACCCTGAGCTTGTGTCTCATTACGACTACTGAACTAGCAATGACATTATTCATCACAATGCCAAATAATGAGTTTGAAAACAGGCTCGGGAATGAATGACCAAATCTTTAATAACACGATGCATTTGTTTGTGTTTGGAAGTAATAAAAAAAAATACCACAAGTTGCAGTTTATGCGATTATGAAACAACAGACTTTAAAAATGTAACCAGATTGACTTTTTCATCACTTTTCCCTCACTGCCGGAGATTAGAGAGTTCTTGACCAGAAATAAATAACAGCTAGAAGTGCCACAGTTTGTAGCTCCTTTTCATCACTTGGCAACAGAGTCACGACTGTGTGGTTTACCCAGTCCTCTCTTTAATGTATGGCATATCCAACCACCTACACCACCACCTGTGTCTGTCTAGCCCCTGAAGTTTGCCTACGGCACCACCCTGATTAGTCGCTTTCCTGCTGATGATGAGTCATACGGTAGAGAGCTTGTGTAAGAAAAAAAAAGGGAAAAAAAGAACTTTTCCCACTCACTATTCCATAGAGGAAACATGCATAACAGTTGCACACACAAACACAGAACGCCGGTACTTCGTTTGAACAATGCAATTGTTGTGAAGCAGAGTGAGCACGCTCTAAATATAACTACACGCTGTTTTTACCAGCAGCTAGTTGCTGATTCAACTGGTGGCAATGTTAGGCATCTACTTCAGCATATTTTCTTCAGGCCTAGATAGCAAAATACTGCCATGTAAGTCCATCTCTTGCGAGAATACTTTGCGTCCGTAGTACAGAGATGAAGATAGTCCTATTTGTCAGTAAAGAGAGCCCCACACCCGCGAGTACACAGCCACACATTTCAGTGTCGTCCCAAACTCATTTGCACCGCTGTGACACCTGAGTGCTTTAGCCTCGGTGTAAGTGGGCTGTATGACATTATGCTTGATAATGGTACTATTGCTTCTCTCATATATGATGGATGTGTCTGTCACGGCACAGTCTCGCTACACCCTATTGGATGCAGCATTTTTCTGACAGGAAAATCAGCCAATGCTGACGCTTCAGTGAGCAGCCACCCTAATCTTTTCCTCGTGCTGTAATTCCAGGTTCCAGAATGAACCGTGGGTAATCCCTCACAGGACGTGTCGTTCCACTGTGTCAGAGTGTCGTTGTCAGTCTCTCTGTGTGTCTCTCTTTCTCTCGGCGTGCACGCACACACACACACACACACTCAAACACAAACTTTCTCTTTCTTTTTCGTCTCCCTGTTGCTGTCGCTTTCTCATGTTCTGGCTCCCTAGGTGGCTGCTTCTTATACTTTCTCATTGATATTTTTTTTTCTTTCCATTCGCCAGTCTCACCACACCCACTCAGTAAGTGATTGACATTCCCCTGCATCTTTTTATGTCTCTCTCTCTCTCTCTCTCTCTGTCTTTTCCTTGTGCTCTTACCCAATCCCTTCTCTCTTACATCCTGTTCTTCCTCATTTCTGGTGCAGGCTTTTCATCAGCAGCCCGAATTTAGCCTGAATATATTTCCTAGATTCACTGGATGCACTGCGCAGTATTAATTTATAGTAACTGCAGTGCAAATACCAAATTAATCGCACAGCATATGAGAAACATCAGGATACAGCCCCTTGTGTTGCACACAAACAGTCTGGTGAATGGCAATGAGCTGTTTCCTCTCTTCACGATAAAAGCTTGTGAGTCTAATGGCTTCTCGGATTGTGCTGTGTGTATAACGACGTTTCATGCAATGGTTCAATATTGTTGCTTCATCGGGATTCATGCAATGGTTAGGGATCCCTCTGGTTTACAGTTTACTCAGCTTACACACTTATTAGAAAATGCATATTGAGGGAAATGACATGTAAGGTTACGGATGTTCTCTCTTGGCCTGCAGATTAATAGCAGACTGTGGCGCTCACTGATTAATACTTCATCACTTTAATTAGTTATTTAGTAGCATCTCTCTAACTTTTAGACACTTTGCTGTCATCTTTTCATCCAGTTTATACCAAATAATGAGAATCTACCATTTTTTGCTGCATAAATCAATAGTAAAGTGTAATGCATAGCAAAATGTCTCAAGAATAATTACAGCATTAAACGTTTTCAGCCTCTTTGTTAAATGTCACAGTGTGTTTTGAGTTCCTGCTTACATTAGTTAATGCATGCATATGCTTTCCTCTCAAATCTGACTCACGGGGAGTACATCTCTACTTTATCCCCTCCCAGCGTTAGCAGAGTCGAGGGGAGGGCCACCAAACGGCCAGTTCCTGCGCTTCCAGCATATGTTTGTTCTCCCTTCCTGGCTACCTCTACCCCTGCTCATCTGCTACACTCACTCTCCACCTACACTTCCTGGGCCGGAGTCACGGTGCCACCTCATCTCATTACCCTCTTAGTCACCCCCATGCTCAGACCTTTCGTGACACCTGCTGAGCCTAGCCAAGCCAGAGACTCCCACATCCCACCACCTCCACAGGCTCTGACAGCTGATTGTGTACGCTGATTGCTGAGCAGCATATTTCACTGGCCCCTTTTTGGTCATGCTGCAGTATGTTCACATTTTCTGCCCCCTCTGTTTCTTGAGGCCATCAGTAGCAGAGTGTGCAGTGCGTTGGTGCGGGCAGTTTGGATAGCTGTAGTCTATTTTGTGAGAGCAAGGTGCTGTTTCTCCCAACAAGTATACCAGAGGAAATGGAAGGCAAGATCTCTTTGATCATATACTCTCAAAGGAAATCTTTGAGTCTGGGAGCTCTCTCTTCTAGTTTAGATATATATCACATCAGAATTCATTATCAGTGTTAGGAGAGTAGTTAAATGGCTTCCAAATGTAGCACAGATCAGCATGAATTGCCTGAAATCTCAAGAGAAATTTGGCAATTTAGCCTTGAAACAAACCCGGGCCAAGCTTGAAGAAGTCTGTTTATTGGATTTTTTTTAATCACACTTCAATCACTTTGACATCTCGTCCTTTCTCGTCTGACTCCGACCAGCAGGAATATTCTCAAGGGTTTTATTCCATGTTCAGCAATCAAAGCGCTCATTCAAGAAATGCGACTATATTTTGCCAGCAATGTGTCACCGCTGAATTAGGTACTATATTTTCTCATTCACTCCTCCTACATAATATTTTTAATTAGGTGAAGCTGATTATTGTTTTGAGAGATATAATTTGTTTACAGCCTTTGAGAGGAGGTGCAATACTTTGTCACTGACAGAGTTTGAATCTAAACTATTGTTTTTAGGAATATTTATTCAAATCCTGAAAGCGCTGCCTTTGCCCCTAACTAACAGTTACACAGTGTTTTAACAATAAATGACTGTGTGGAAACATCGCAGGCAGGATGAGCTTGAAAAGCTCTTAAATTATCTCTCACATATTAAATCTAAACCACAGATAACCTGCGTCAGTAAAAATTACACAAACTGTTAAAAAAACAATGATCGCATCATCTCGTTGTTTGATTTTAGGATTACCTTCTGCACGCAAACGTCAGTCATATGGATGAAATGACAGTTTGTGAAATAAGTGTCACGAGTATCACAACATTACTCCCATAGAAAGTACAGGAAGAAAGTAAATTGTCAAGTTTAAAAACGCTTTTAATGCAGAACTTTGAAATTTTTTTTCACTTTTTTATTTAACAGCTTAGAGAACCCAAGAAAATCCTTCACCATAGTTTTCCATGTCTGTCCCAGTAAAACAGTGCAGCATGGGGCTGATTTAAAAAAGGCCTTTGTAGAGACTCTCCTCATAGAGTTCAGGATTGGCAACCTTGAGTCGAGTAAATAAATGAACGAGACGGGAGATGGCAGAAACAGATTGAAAGGAAAGACACCATGTGAGGTGGAGGTGTGAAGTCCCACTCAAGCTGTAATGAGAATGTGGCTGTGTGCCATAGGATTTGCCGGTAATTGCTTTAATGAATGCATTCTGTTGTCTCTTGATTGAGCACATGCCCTGTGTGCGCTCCTCCAGGAGCCACGAGTGTTATTTCTGTTTCTCTCTCGGTCGTCTCACTAACTTTTGCCGTCACACAGTCTCAGGCTGTGGTGATCCGTCCACTGCTTTTTGTCTGGCCCAAATCTTTTATGAAGGTCACACTGAGTCTCCTTTAAAGACAAGACACAGAGTGGGAGAATTAGGCATAGATCGTTTCTGTTGCCCTTTCCAGCTGATGGTCTTAGTAGGTGATCTGTTTGCATGTGTGTGTGTGTGTGTGTGTGTGTGTGTGCGCGCGCGCGTGCACGCTCACTTTGCAGATTGGCCTGTGGCACTCTGAAGATGGACTGTCCATGGAGAGAAAGCTTCCATCTATCAATGTGACGGACACCCTCTTCAACACGACTCTTATCATCACAACAATACTGGTAAGGACTGTATGCGCACTGACACACACACGCATCAGTATTCTGTGCCATTTTATTAGCTCAGCTCAGACTGATCTACATGTGGCTGACATTCTCTAGTTGACAGACAATTACCATATCAAAAAGCCATTTTGTGTTTTCACTTCCACACTCAGTCCTTTTGGGATCAGAGGATCTGATGCTGCTCAATTGTTTTGCCCCGAGTACCGGGTGTATCAGCAGGAGCTAATAATTTACCATGTCAGCCATCCTCAGCCTTTGTTGTAAATATAGACCCTGTGAGCACTAGTTCTCACTACTCTAACTACTTGTTTTGAGGGGGGTGCGGTGCCAGTTTCGAGCAACTTCCTTTTTCTGCTTTGTTCAGAAAGAAAAACACATACTTCCTGCAATTATACACTTGATGTGGACTATTTTTAATCAGTGCTTGAGTAAATCAAGTGTCTGGTTCATTACTCACTTATTTAATCAATTAATTGATTAAACACAAGTAAATTATATAAAAGCAAAAAAAGCAAGGAAACGAATTTCTCTCACTGCTCTTGCTCTGATTGTCGTTATTTCACAAATGGCCAAACACATTTCAAAATGACTAATCACAAAAATTCTGTGAAACTCACAAGTTTTTTTGGCAGACAAATTAGACAAGTCTTATATTTGTAGAGCTAAAACATGCTTTAGGCAAACTGTCTCACGCTGTTATAGCTCAGTAAAACATCTCATGCTGAAACACCCAGCTGAGAAACTTGTAAGTACTATAAAGCAATTCACCTTACTAGAATCTCTGCAGGCAGCTGTTGAGCAACAGCAAAGTCCAAGAAAAAAAAAACAGTTGAATAGAAGCGATTAAATGTAACTGCATTAATATAAATGCTGCAGGGCTAAAGATGGCATTAGGAGCACATGAGAAGGTGGATGCTGGGAAAGCAGGGGAAAAGCTTGGGTTACTGCAGGGCAGACTGGAATCGTCTCTATGGAATGACAGACTTAGCAAACAGCAAACAGATTTAATAAACTAGAGAATGAGCTTTGACATGTGGCATTTTGTCCAGCCATATCTTAAGGCGAAAAGAGTTTATAGCTTGTCTGCACGGACACGCTTGAAGGTGCGGAAAATGCCTACAATCATGGCCCAACTACCCTCGCTATCTCTCTCCAAAAGTTCTGTCCCCTCTGCATTTTTGTCATCTCATTGCAATGATCTGTAAATGAGGATATTGGTAAATATTTGCAGTAAGTTACAAATGATTATATATTTCTAAGCATAAATGACAATCCAACAATACAAATCTAACATAAGTCTCTCCATAAAAGCATTTAAGATGCGCTTAGTTGCACGGTAAATAAATAAAAGATTAGCTGTGTGGGGAAAAAAGGTTTGTCAAAAAGACCTAGAGACAGAAGTTTAACGGATGCACTTTTTGCCAAGTGGAGACTCGAGGAAGTGGGCGGCGTAAGTCAGGCTGTCGCCTTAATACAGTTAACATATACGGCCTCTGCAGGTATGAGGGAGGGTGCTTCAGCAATCTGAAAAGCACTCAACTTCAAACATGCTGAGTCTTATAATCTTCAAATGCCTCTGACTTTATCAACCTGTGGTTATTACATATGAGTATATCAACATGATTAGCAGTGAGTCATGCATAAAAATGGATGTCGCAGGTTTCGCAGTAGATATTTCAAAAGAGAAATGGTGAACTGAAAAGCTGCAGGCAAAACCAGCAAAACCTTTCCCCGTGTCATTCATGTCATACAGTGTGCAGAACACCTGAACTATGACATTTATTTAACAGTACAGAAGCTCAGTTGCTATTGCACATTTTGAACAGTGCTAAATTAACCTTCAGTAATTATATACCTACTTTAATTACTTGAGAGGATATTTAAGGCTTTTCCAAACCTTTTGAGAATAATGTAAGGCTCTCTATAAGCACCCCTGTGTTGTATTTTCCAGCAGCTTTGATATTAATGCACTGTTGGGGAACTTCAGAAGTGAAAAATAAGTCCAAGTTGAAACCGTCACAATGTTCCAAGAAGTAGGACCTAAATGCAACAGTTTTAATGGACTAAAGAGTTATGGTGCGTTCATTTGATACTACTACTGCTCATCACCTCTCCCAGGGTTTGGGTCCGCCAAGCGTTTATCTGAAGTTTGCTGTAATTTTTGAGTTTTCAGTCAGGACTTTGGACTGGAACAGCCCTTCAAGTCACACTTGTCATGGTCATTTTTCATTTGTGGACTTTCTAGTATTATTTATTATTTATTCTATGTCAATTCTTAGTTTGCATCTCATCTCTGTGTGTTTTTAAAGCGTCACTTTGCCTTAATTCTTTGTTGGTGTTGCATTGTCTATGAGTCTTCCTTCAACAATCCCTTGTTTGGATTTGGTTTTCTGCTGCCTACTGGACTACCTGCTTTACCTTAACAAAGGTTCCCTTTTTGTTCTTTAAATTCTGAGCCTCAGATCTGCATTTTAGATCCACATTTTACACAAAACACGTGACTTCCAACTCAGAAAGCTGGAGCAGGCCAAAAACACTGAACTTTACCAGAGTTCAGCAGTTCACATAAACATAAGTAAAACTGTAAAACACATATGTAAATGATATGTACTGCATATGAACTGTACACCCACTGTTTTCTATTTGAGACTCGCCAGGTAAGCCATACACAAAGATCAGGCTCTAACCATGAACGTGCTACAGCTGTGTTTTTAAGTGCAAAAGAAATAAGAAAAAGAAATAGCATTGCACTGCACAGTAGACTGGTTGGTTGTCAGACTTTGTATTCCTGCATGAATTGGTGATCACTAAAAAAATCTTTCAGTAACTTTTCCTTAAATAAATCGAAGCTTAAGGTGGTCGCTCAGAATTGGTATCCCCTTCATTTTTCCAGGCAATTGTAATAAAATGTAATTAGCCATCAGCGACATTTGTGCAAGATTTTGTTCGATCATCCAGGTAAGGAACGTTTCTGGGATGTCCATTTTAAGGTTGCTAGTCTTGATCTAGCAACCATGTAGCTTACTCAGCCACTGAAGTCGGTCAGAACAAATGTGCACCTGGATCCGTAGGACCAGTAAGGTAACCAGTCCCAGCTACCTAACTAACTAACTACATGCCTTTAGCTTGCTCAGCTGATTCAAATCAGAGCTGCTATGTTCAGCCTTTTTAATAAACGTCCTTTTTTGAATGACTAATATTGTGTGATCCTTTAATTCAAAAGCAATTACTCTGACCTGTGAAAATGACAAAATACTTACTTTAGTGTGTTTTCTGCAAATTGGCCTCAGCAAAATGGACAGACTGTCACATCAAATGTGTGATATCCACAGATATTCCACAGTGTCCTCTAATGTGGCAGTAACATGAATGTGTGCAACCAGCTGCTAGTGCTGTACCTTGCTAAGGAGCCAAACAAACGGTTATGTAATATAAATAATACAACATCATGTATTATTCCTGAGCTTTTGTTTTATTACTTTTGCAGGTTCCGCTGTTTTGCTTGTGCTAATCTTGCATTTGTAGGTCAATTAATGTTGCTGCCTAGCTTTACTTCATGGCTTTAGTTTGCTTCAGTTATTCTGTGTTTTGTTGTCAAGTTTCCATCTCTGTGTTGGATGTTTGGTTATGTCCCATCTTTTTTCTGGTAGTTCTCCGTCTCTCCTTTATTGTGTTAAGCTTTCTTCTCTTGCTTCGTTATTCTGATTTAGTTCAGGTGTGTTTAGGTCCCCATTAGCCCTTAGTGAGTTTCAGCGTGGTTATATTTAATAAAGGTTCTGCTTTCATTCTTTCAATCATGTGCCTCCATGCCTGTGCCTCCTGTGCCTGACTCATGACTTTCAACTGGGAAAGTCAGAGCATCCCCAGTAACCCTGACTTCACAGTCCAAGATAGCATTAGCTCACAAAACATTAGTAAAACTCTAAAACTTGCTATCTGTATCGCTAATGTTGTGTATTTGAGAGTCGGCAAATAAGCTTTGCACAGAGCATGCTCTCTTCATGAACCTGCTACAGCTGTATCTTTAAGTGCGAAAGAAAGTATTGCACTGTACTGCTAGTTCTGTGCCTAAGGAGCAAAACCTTTTCCTACTGGACTACTGGAATGCACTCAACTCAGCAGGGACGTCACATCCAGCACTGATAACCAATTTCTGAGGCAAACTGAATACAGCATCAGTCCAGGGAAACTCGGCCAGAACAAAAGGTGATGAGAATAAACGTGCTAGAGCACTGAGACACTTTGAGCAAGTGGATAAACTCAACTGAGAAACTATAAATACTCATTACAACTAACTGGAACAGAAGACAGAGGTGAAACTAAAAAGGATGGGGCAAACAAAGAAGAGGAGAAAGCCGATGACAGGAGGTAAAATTAATAGAAACACACAAGAGGAAATAAAAAGAATCTAAAAACACAATACAAAGATTCAGATTGTTAGTCAGCAGCACGTCATTCACTCACTCATTGAATACAACACAGAACACAGACATGACTCGCTCAACTCCTCCTCCTCCTCCTCCTCGCTGATGAATCAGATGATAAGGCATAGAGTAGCCCTGTAAGCAGAAACAATTGGCCCACTGTGTTGTTGTAACTGGCTTATCAGCTGCAATCCTTGGGACTAGGGGAAGGACATATTGCCATATTTCGCCAAAGAACAACTCAGTGGTCTCATTGAGACTGATAGGGATTCAAACGGAACGGTTCATTTTGCACAGGAGGGAACGGCATCAGGGGACTGTAGAGATGTGTGTGTGTGTTGAGGTTGAGTTGGAGTACAAATGAGACAATGTTTTCACAACAGAAAGAGGCTGTGAAAGAAAGAATTGGCTGAGCGCAGAGCTTTGATTTCACTTTGGATATATAGAGTCCCTGGACCAAACTTCGGAAGCCACCAAGGAGCAATTTTCAGTGCCTATCACAGCTCATTCATCATGGTGTGATTGCTGTGTCGCTGTTATCTCGCTTGTGGGCGGCAGACGAGCCACAGCTGA